AATACTATTTAGCCATAAAAAGGCCCTGGAATTTGATAGAAAGTGGACAAATATGGAAGATTTGTTGCTGAGTGAAGCAAGTCAGGTTATGAAAGAGAGATACTGTATGTCTCCACTTAACACATACCAACTGTCTGCACTCTATGGTAGAAACTGAAAGACCGGAGAACATAAAAGCATTAAAAATTGTAATGGACCCTAGAGACAAAGTGGAAAGACTATGGGAGGGGAAGAATGTAGAAAAGGAAATTTGGGGGGAAAAGGGAGAGGTAAGGCACTTGTGGGACACAGATAAGGTTTTTTATGTGTTGACGAGGTGAGGATGTGTACAGTAGTCTCAACGGGGCTGGACTAGGTGTATATCATTCTGGGTAAAGTCTTTAAAATCTAAATGATGTATAGTGTTTTAATATATTAATAATAATTTAAAAATTAATAAAACATAAAAATAAAAAATAAAAGTTGAAGAACAACAACAAATGAACTAACAATATAGAAGAAAAAAAATAATAAAAGGCCAGCCCAGAGGAGGGTATGGCTAATAAGGCTAGTTTCTAAAGGAAGACTTAGATGGGGGAGAGGATGGATTTGATTGATCAATTGACTTTGGCCCAGCCCTGGTTAAAAGTATTAGAAAATTGTTTGGTGCCTCTGTATCCACCCACAAGCTCTATCTCCTATGAATGGAAGCAAGTACCACTCACTCACAGCCACCTTTCAGGATCTACCCCATCCCAGCAACTTGTATTTTGCCTGGGAGCTGACTGCTCAGAACTGGATAAGGGAATGGGTTCCTGCACACTCAGGACACTTATCTGCTACCATCTGCTTGGAGCAGGAGTTTTTAATTGCTTTTGTCTGAGTCAACCTGCAAAGTCCTCCTGGCTCTTTCTTTACGAAGGTTCGCAGCAGATCTGCAAGTATTTATGGTGATTTAGAAAGCTGTAATTATTGTCTGGCCTACCATCTCCAGGCTATATTTCTGGGGTGCTCTTGCAAGCCCATTTGGTCTATTTTTCCTCCTAGTGTAGCTTTCTTAAGAGGCAGGCAAGGATCTCAGAGCCCTCATGGTCCTTCACAAGTGGGAATGCAAAGCCTGTTGGACTGGAATTTCCTGGGGGAAATGCAAAAATGCAGCAACATTTTTTTTTTTTTTTTGGTTTCTAGGGTGTTGCTACTGTAAGCTCTTTGTATAAAGAGGAGAAAAAAATAGTTTTCTATTAACCAAGAAGAATTATATTTATCACTATAGACCAGAATAGAACATGTGTCCCACACTGGCAACTCAGTTTGCTACTTTTAAGGAATTCTGTTTTGTCACGCAGCCCAGATGGTGATGTTGATTGGATTCTGGCTCCTTCTCTGTGCACTATTTCCACTTTACTTTCTTCTTTCATCTGTATAGACCATATGTTGTCTTTCTTGTTATAAGAGAGGAAGGGGTTGGAAAGAACCCAGATTTGAAGTCAGTCTGCAGTCTTGTCACTCCTTGACTCTGTCAGCGACCTTGGGCAGGTGTCTTTTCCCTTCTGAATCTCAGTGAATCTATCTACAAAATGATGTTCATAATCAACTTTATGTCCTCAGGGGGTCCTTGTAGGATTAAATGTTATAATCTATGTGAAAATGCCTTGTAAATTGTAAATTGCACCACATAAAAGAGCTGTTATTCTTCCAGCAACTGGAATAGTGCTTTGACCCCTGGGACGCTATGATATTCATGACGAAGAGATGGTCACTGTGTTTTGTTCAGTGATGACTACAGATCAAGCCCCAAGGGCTTCACACGTGTCATTTTTGGTTCCTCTCCATAACTCCACTGTGCCGGTGCAGCGTCTTTCTCTTTCTACTGATGAGGGAACCCGAGCCTAGAGATGTAAAATAGAACACCTGAGGATACCCTGGGAGCATGCAGGGGCAGACCTGCTGGGATGGGCTGGACTAGTCCTTTAGGTGATGATTCTAACCATCCTACTTCTTCCCTAGCCCTGGTAGGGCTTGTCTGGGTGCCATTTTGCCACTCCCTTTGGAGATTCTGTTCTCCAAATATTGGTCCCACTGGGGAATCAAACTCTCAGGATGGTAGGACATCTTTCTGACATCTAGACCTTTATTGGCTTCCCAGGGCTGAGTGGGCTGGTTTTCCTCAGCCCGTACCTGAACACAGGGAGCATGGTTGGACTGGTCCATGGTTGTGCTCTTTAGCATTTACTCTCTGTGCTTGTCCCAGGGAAACCCCAGAAGGTTGTCCTTGCTGAGAGGAGACTTCCAATGAGCAATGACTTCCAGAGAGGGTTGGAATGAACATTCTTTCTTTGACTTTTTTTTCACATATTTTGCCAAAAAAAATTTTTTTTTGTAAAGTATTTTATCTTTCTGATACATTAGACCTAGCATTAACAAAATTTACTCTACTGGAGGCTGGTAGGTGGCATGGTTGTTGAGGGTGTTGGTCTCCCATATGGCCAACTGCCGTTTGAATCCCAGACCTGGTGACTTGCTCTCTCACTTTCCCTCTCTTTCTCCTACTCTATCCTCTGGTCAAATTAAAATAAGTAAATAAATAAGTAAAGTTAAATATGATAATTCTTAGAAAAAAATACTCTACTGATTTCGCTAAACTACAAAGATCATTACAGATCTTCAGTCAGGCTTTTTCTGAAGTGGCCATCTTTGATGGTTACCAGCTATGACATTCATGCTCCAAGAAATGGGGGAGCTCACAGAAATGGGGCAGAATCTAAGGTGGCACTGAGGCAGATGTTGATGTGTCCAGGTTTCTGGGCTTGCTTCCTTCTTATGGCTTTTATAAAATTTTTGCATATGGCCAGCCACTGTGTCTTAGGAGTAAGGCAATGTTCTGTGATGCTGAATTCACTAGAGAGTCCTAGGTTTGCATCTTGAGGCCTTTCTGGATGCAGAAGCCTGGACTTCTGACCCCAGAGCTAGCCTTTTTCACCATGCTGGGCTTCTCTTACCTAATCCTTTCCTAGGTCCTGCATTGAGTACCTGTGGATGACAATGCTGCCCACCAATTGGAGGATACTGGGTGCATGTGCTTGTGATCTGGCTGAGGTTGGGAGTGGATTGTGATATGAGGACTCTTAGAAGAAAGAAATAAACTTTGTTGCTGTTGTTGTTGTTTTTTATTGGCTTTATATCCTAATTGGGACACTCAGTTTTGTCTCCCCCCCCCCCTCAGCCTATATGTAAAATAAAAGCTACTTGTAGCAGGTATATTAGCTATATAGCAAAAGAAATTTCTCTTAGCTGGGCTTAATATACCCCTTGACTTTCTTGAAGATTTGAGGTTTCTTAATATATAAACTTTAGGGGGGATAGGGGGTTACTATAAAATTTTCTGAAATGATTTAATTACTTGGCACAATCCAGGACCTGTTTTTGGTATGTTAACTTGCTTTTTTTTTTTTTTTTTGTAGAGGTTTTTGCTATAGGGCGCGTGTGCTCACCAGAAAGACAGAGAGATAGAAAGCGAGAAATCACCTCCCAGGGGGGATGGCCATGCCCCAATCCCTTCTCCTCCATTCTCTTCTTGGGATCTTGGGCATGCATGCACACGAGCCCGGCGTGAGTTTAAGATGCTGGATCCGGAACTTGAACCACAGTCGACTACATGGGAGTCCAGCGACATAGCCATTACGCTAACTACTGGTCCCTGTTAACTTGCTTTTCAAAGTCCAATTAAATATCTTTTTTCATTCACTGACTTGTTCAGTCATTCACCCGTTCACTCATTCATTGCAGCCCATTATGAACAGGACCTTGGAGACACAGCAGTGAGCAAAGCCACATGCAGTCCCTCCAGTCTGTGCTCACAAATAGACATATTGCATTGCCACGGTGATGAGGCTTCACACATCAGGTGTGCAGAGCCGTGGTGGAGCCTGCTGGTGCTCTGCTGATGCCTTCTTTTCCTGCAGGCATGTCTATCCCCCAGATGCTGCAAGTCTTGACCTTGGACAGCTTACAGCTGCTCCCTTCTCTTGAGAAGCGCCCTTGGAAGGCTGTATCTCCCACTCCTCAGCTGGTCAGTCTGTAGCCAGTAGTTAACTGCAGTAGAAATGGCAGTTCTTTATCTCAAGAAGAAACTCGAGTATTCTATGTGGCATTCCTGCTCCAGAGCTCCTGTGGGAGCTGAGACCACAGCTTTGCCCAGTTCCTTCCCCAAATCCAGCCTGCTCCCCTTTCTCCCTTTTTTGTCTCAGTATGTCTTGTGAATCCAAACTTTTACATTAAGCTCAGATTAAAGGCAACTTGACTCATGCCAGGAGCGATCAGAGTTCATTACAGGAGTGTTTGTTTTAGGTCAGGAGGTCAAAAAAGCCAGCTTAAGAAGATGATGCCAGGACTGTGGTTTACAAGACTGGAAGAAGCTAATAAGTTCAAGAGTGAGGAGAAGGGGGCTTCAGGAGGAGGAACAGCACCAGCACATTCTGGTGGGAGGAAGCATGAACTAAAGGCTGAAAGGAGCAGAGATAAGGGAACCAGGCTTAGGAGAAGCTGGAGGGACAGTAGGTGCATAACAAGCAGGTTTCCCAGGTAGAACAGGGGTTCTCCAATTGGTGGGCAGCATTGTCATCCACAGGTACTCAATGCAGGACCTAGGAAAGGATTAGGTAAGAGAAGCCCAGCATGGTGAAAAAGGCTAGCTCTGGGGTCAGAAGTCCAGGCTTCTGCTTCCAGTTCCAGCTATTATATATGAGGCCTTTGAGCTTCAATGTGGGTCAAATGCATTTTGTGGTCTTAGAATAGTAATAACTTGCAGGTGTCCATTGTCTTTATGAGTGTTTCTCTTCCTGGGTGTTTACAAAACATGTTTCCTATCCTTTAACCACAGACTGCTTCGAGTTCAGGCACCGTCTTTGGAGATGGGCACAGAGGGCAATGGCTGCTGTGCAGGAGAGTATGGTTGAGTTCCCAGCATCCTGAAGTAGTTCTGACATATGTGAAAGTAAAGGCTTTACTCTCTCTCTTTTTAGGTAAAAATAGCAACAGAAAAGGCATGAGAACCAAGAGCTCTGAGAAGGCTGCCAATGATGATCACCACGGGGCCCATGAAGATGTCAGAGAGAGTAAGTGAGGCTCCTGGAGAGCCCCCTGCCCCAGTTCTATCACCTGTTCAGGGAGAGTGTGTGGGGGGGTGCAGGCCCCTGGCACAGCAGCCTAACTGCAGAGTCTCTGAGCATGGGGCTGCCTGGGGCCTGCTTTCTATTCTTAACCGTTGTGCGGGGGTGAGAACATTCTCAGCAGCTCACACTTCTATAATGCATCATAACTCACAGCCAGATTTTCCTGTCAACTCCACTAAAGCTGTTTCTGAATTTCCTGGAGCCCAAAGTCTTCGGTTGCCTTCCCTCCTCTTTTACTATCCCTCTGCAAAGACATTCCTTTTGTGTGGGACCTCTTAGCTGCTCTTAGCTTTGGGAATGCATTTCTTACCTACCAATTTGACCCAGAGGTTTCTGGGGAGAGAGATCAAGTCTTCTACTTCCATGTGATGCTAAGCCTGGCTTCCTATAGTTGTGTGAAAATATTGCTCCTTTAATTATGTACCTTAGAATGTTTGTAGGTAGGACCGGCAGGTGGCATGGTGGCTAAGGGCGCTGGACTCCCACATGGCTGACCATGGTTCAAGTCCAGGACCTGGTTGCTTGCTTTTTCACTTTCTCCATCTTTTTCTCTCTCTCTCTCTCTCTCTCTCTCTCTCTGTGTGTGTGTGTGTCCTTCTCTGGTCAAATTAAATTAAGTTAAATAAAGTAGTTCTTTGGAAAAAAATAAAAAACACCTTAAAAAGAAAAGAATGTTTGAAGGTATTAGTTGACTTATTGCCCTCTCATTATAGCTATTGTTATTATTATGTCTTTATTCTAAACTATGGTATCCAGGATCACATTTCTGCTAATGTAAGAATTAGCAGCCATTTAGTAAGCATTTATGAAGGTGCCAGACACTGGCCCAGTATTTGACATCTCTCAGTATCCCTCTGAGTATTGTGGGTATTATGTTATTATCCATATTTTACAGATGAGGAAAATGGGATGCGATGATATGGGTAATTTGCCTAAGGTTGTGTAGCTGGTAAGTGGCAAAACAATACTGGAACCCAAGATTTTCTGATTCTAGACTTTTTGCTTAGCAATACAGCTGCTTAAAATAAACAGAGAATTTCACAAATTTGCATTTACAGAAACAGAACTCATTTCAGCTGCCATATGAGCCCATAAACCTTATAACAGAGTTGATTGTCACAAAGGGAATTGTATGTTCCCTTAGGCACTATGTAATGATTTAGAGATGTGTTTCTAACCAAGAACTCACCATCAAAGAAATCACAGATATGACTAACAGGGCATCCTAAAATAAAAACAGAAGTCAAAAACAGTGAACTTCTGCAATAACTTACCAGGTTAAAAATATGTTCCATCCTAAAATGGGCGGGCAAGGCTGGACCACTGCCCATTGAGACAACTCAGTATGTTAAGAGGGTGTGATGCTCAGGCTGCATTAGTGCTGGTTCATCCTGACTTCTTTGGGGTCCCGTTTAAATTGGTGGTAATAGGACTCCCTGCCTTCAGTGGGCCTTGGGCATGTGTCTCCTTGCCCAAGCAGGCTGAGAAGGCACAAATGGTTTCTTCAGGATCACAGACACCAAGGTCTAAAGCATCTGTGAGTGCTGGTCTCTCTATTTTGAGTTCCTTCTGTCACCAGATCTAGCCCTGCTAGTTCTTCACTGCCTTGTTAATTCTTAAGTACTACTGAATGTTTTTCTAAAACATATTTTATCCAGAATTCTTTTAGTAGTACCAGGAGAACAGTTGGTTTGAATTATCTTAGTTCTTCATTACTAGAATTAGAAGTTGCTAAAATTTTGGTAGGCATTTTCAGAAAGGTTTTTGAAAACCTACACACACACACACACACACACATATATATATATATATATATATGTATATATATATATATATATATATATATATACTTATTCCATGAATGAGAGAGATAGAAGGAAAGGGAGAAACAGACAGAAAGGCAAAAAACACACTTCTGAAAGTGTTTTCATGCTATGATTCACTCTCAGCTTCAGCCAGCCCTAGATCTTGGAGTATATGTTTGCTGGGTGAAATCAGGGAAGTCTCTGTACTTGAACTGTGACCTTTCCCATGTGGTTAAGCCTTGAAGAGCATTGCATTAGTGCTATACTCTCATCTGACCTCAAAGGCCTGTTTCTTTAACATACACGTACGTATACACACACACACACACACACACACACACACACACGTGTGAATCTGCTTCCTCTTCTGCTGTGGCTATCAACTCCCAATCATACACACTGGATTGTTCCACTGACCTGGGCCTCATGACTTTGTCAGCTTGGGATCACTGGTTTCATAGGCAGCCATGATGGCACTGACACATTGAATGCCCTAGATATGATTTTAGCCCAAGAAACTTCCATTAAAAATGGAAATGAAGGGATCAGAGACAGCCTTGGAGAGGAACCCCTGATATGTAGTGATGAAATGAAGTGAGATGATGGTGCCATAGGGGTAGTTCATAGGGAGACAGAGTGGCATAACAGGATCACAGGCCTAATATCAGGTGGCATCACCTGTGGGATGGTTCTTAGAGAGACAAGGCCTCAGATGTATAGCTGGGCATTCTTAGGGCCCTGAGTCCCTCCTCTTCTCAGCATTTCCTCAGGTCAGAAGGTTGGTATGGTACAGATGTCAACTACATCCTGTTAAACGTGGCAGGTAGAGGAGACTCAGCCACTTCATTTTTTGGGTGGTGTACAATACAAATGTTAACTATGTTAAGTTATGTGAGTGGATAGCATTAAAGGGCTTGTCTCAGATGTGGACATCACTCATGGGGACCTTTTGATTTGAAGAAGAGACTATGGCGTCACTGTGATTAGGAGCAGTCATCTGTGGCAAGTACTAAAAATACATTCTGGATGTTGTTCTTTAATAGTATATTGATTGAATCATTGGCCTAGTTTGTTACCTTTTCCTGTGTCCGTACTCTTTGCAGTATAACTTTTCAGTTCCCATTGTGAAAGGTAAAAGTCCCTTGATTCTGAGCTCATTCTGGGCTCATTGTTGTGCCTTGTTTTGGCCAGTAGAATAAGGTTAAGTGATGAAATGGCAATGCTGAGTCAAGGGATGAAGAGGCTTTGTTTTATTCAAATGTATACACCAAGGACTTTGGTTCAAAAAGACTGAGCAATGAGTAGAACAGATATGGACCCAACCTGCAGCCTAGAAACACCCAGCCAAGCCCAGCTGATCTATAGACATCCAAGAAATAAATATGTATTGTGTACCATTAAACATTTCTAAAATGGTGGAGAAGGGATTGTGATGTGACCATGACCCATTGAGGAGTACTTTCTCCTTTTACCCTCTCCCCCATCTCTGTGTTTCTCTTTGGCAAGCACATGTGCCCTCTGGCAATTAAAAAAATAGAAAAGAAGAAAAGATCTTGTAGTTGTTTGTTACACAGCAATAGCTGGCTAATATACAGCACAGGTAAAAGGTGTTCTTTTTGTTTTTAGAATGCAGAGTGTTGCATTAATTGTTATGTTCCAAAATTTAACTACCTCATGATGATGCTACGTTATTTTCCAACCTTTTGCTGCTATAAACAGTGTTGAAGTAAAATCATTATGTACCCACATCATCAACAATGCAGTGGCTGCAGAACAATTCCCTTGGCAGTTACCATCGTAACTAACCTTTCCTTCTCTTTTTTTCCAGTCAGATGGGGAGCTGTTTCTCACACATGTCCTGTACTTTAAGTCTCTGCTCTTTAGGGAATTGGACAAGCTCTGAGTTAGTGGTTGAGAGAGTAGCTTTGGGATCAGATTTTACATTCACTGGCTGCAAGACTCTGGACAAGTTTCTAGTTTCTCTATGACTCACTTCTCTGTGAAATGGTAATGCTATTCTCTGTATAGCTGTATTGTAAAGATTAATATCTGCAGAATTAGCACACACAGCACATAGTAAGCTCTCAGCAAATATTAGCTATGATTTTAATTTGCGATCTTTGTGCTTTAGAATGGATTGGGAAACATTTTTCTAGGGATTAGATCACAAATATTTTATGCTTTATTGGTCAAGAGGCAAAATCAAGGATATTATATAAGTATTTATATAACCATTAAAATATAACCTTAAAAATATAAAACACATTCTTGTTAACATTGACCTTATAAAAACAAGTGACAGGCTGGATTGGCCCTCATATGGGTTGTAATTTTCCCACTTCCTTAGAACTTCAATTTTCTGATAATGCTGTTTCCAGGAAGCCTCTTTGGTCACCTCTCTTTTACTTCCCTGTACTTCTTTCTCATGGTCCTTTTCCCCTCCTCTCTTTAACCATAGTGATTCCTGTACATGGCTCTTTGGTTCTAAAAGGCTATAAGAATGCTTAAGAGCAAGGATCCTATCTGATTCATCTCTGAGTATACCCAGTATTGGTAGCAGCTCTTGAAAAGAATGGGAAACCTGTTGATTGCCCATCTCCACGGTGCCAAAACTAGCGTCTGGTGTTCAGAATGGGTGTTCCACATATGTTCCAGTGGGTTCTCCATGGCTCAGAACAGCAGGGCTGGCCCTCTAGAGGAAGTAGTCTTTAGCTTCCATTCTTAGATCTATAAGAAAGAAGCATGGTATTCTGCTGAGATAGAAGTAGATGATTTGTCTAATACATGGTGAGTGGGAGCATACTCCTTGTATTTCTCTCATGCCTGGGCTAGACCAGATTTGAGGCCTCACCCAGGAATCACACTTAGGGATTGACCAATTTAGTGTGTGTGTGTGTGTGTGTGTGTGTGTGTGTGTGCGCACGTACGCATCTGTGTTTTAAGCATAAAGGTTTTTCATTGTCTAACAGGCAGTTTGTTTTTTCATTCAAGCCCTTATTTGTGAGCCTCTTTACTTTATTGCATGATTAGGTGGTTTTTGGGCTCAATTTGAGTCTTCCTTCTTCACTATCTGGCACAGCTGATGAGGGCCATAGACTGATTTCCAGATCCGGATTCTGGAGGAGGTAGAGGGGCTAA